GGAATAAACCACTGGCCCCTAGCTTTGTTTTGTTATGAGAGTCTCACTCCATAGCCTTCAAACACAAGCTCCTCCTGTTTCCCCTCCCCAGGTTCTGGGATTATAGGCAAGCCCTACCACAGCTAGAAATAGTTCCATTTTTACAGAGTCAACAAAAAGCCGGGCGTCAGTGGCTCACACCTGTAATCCTAGCTATTCGGGGGGCTGAGATCTGAGGATTGAGGTTCAAAGCCAGCCCAGCAGGAAAGTCCGCGAGACTCGTCTCCAATAAACCACCAGAAAACCAGAAGCGGTGCCGTGGCTCAAGTGGTAGAGCCGCTCGCCTTGGCGCTGAGTGAGGTTGAGTTGCGGCCTAGTCACGCAGTGGCAGAATTGAGGTTTGATTCAGTGCCAGCCTTTGTCTATGTACCTTGCTGTGGTTGCCCGTGTGAAATTTCCCAGGGACTCTGCGTTCCCACGTGTGTCTAGCGTGGCACGGAATCGTGAAAAGATTCCCAGGAAACTCACAACTCCCCTCATGGTCTCCAGGAAGGGCCAGCGATGGGCTGAGCTCTCGCAGAGAAAAGCACGCGGGGCTTTGAGCTTGCCAGCTCTCGGCTTTCCCCAGGTCCAGCGGGAGCTGCCGGCTAGCTTAGGGGAAACCCCAGCCCTGAAATGTAGCTAACCTTCCTGCTTAGACCAGGACAGTCCCCATTGTTGAATGGAAAGTCCCCAAGCTGGGGAACCCCCCCTGAAAGCTCTAGTAAATTTATGGGGCCTGGTGCCTCCCTGCTAGGCCCTGGTCAAGTCTAAAACAGGCAAGTTCTGGAAGAACCAAGACCTTACCAGCCCCCTGATCTCTTCTCCAAGGTGAAGAGGAAGGGGTGTTGGGGGTTCAGCCCTGCTTGGAAAGAATGAAGGCAGGACTGGGGGGTAGAGCTGGAAGGGAGACCCCTTTGCTTAGCAGAAGTGAAGCTGCGGGCCAGTCACTGGGGAGGAAGAAGAAGAGGGAGGAGGAGGAGGGAAGGAGGGAAGGAAGAAAAAGAAAGAAAGGAGATCAGAGGAGCCGGACGCCAGTGGCTCAAGCCTGTCATCCAACCTACTCAGGAGATTGAGATCTGGGGTCAGGGTTCAAAGCCAGCTTGGGCAGAAAATTGAGACTTACCTACTAATAAACGACCCCCAAAAAGCAAGAAGTAGAGCCATGGTTTAAATGGTAGATTGCTAGCCTTGAGCAAAACAAAACAAAAAAAACAACGATCAAGAACAGTGTCCAGGCCCTGAGTTCAAGCCCCAGGACTGCCAAAAAATAAAAATATTTGAGAGAGAGAGAGGAAGAAAGGAAAGAAAGAGCCAGGCGCCAGTGACTCAAGCCTCAGGAGGCTGAGATTTGAGGATCAGGGTTCAAAGCCAGCCTGGGCAGGAAAGTCCATTAAACTCTTATCTCCGATAAACCACTAGAAAACCATAAGTGGCGCTGTGGCTCAACCGGTAGAGCACTCGCCTTAAACTGAAGAGCTGATGGACAGCGCCCAGGCCCAGAGTTCAAGCCCCATGACCAACAAAAAAAAAAGGAAGGGGAAAAAAATAAACTTTGCAATAATAAACATCCAGCCCTTGTCCCCCTCTGCCTAAGGGTGAGCTAGTGTTTATTATTATTGCTGGGTTTATTACCTCCATTATTGTAATGACTTATGGTGCCAAACGTTAACAGCAGGTCCTGGGTAGATGAATCGAGTTTTCCCCCCCTCCCCCCTTCCACACACCCCTCCCTCTATAGTTCACCATCCAAACCTTGGAGCGAGCTGCCTGTTGATTCTGGCACCTTCTGTTTCCTGCCTCTAAGCCCTGGTGGGGACCCTTAGTAGAAAAGGAAGCCCCCACCGGAAGGCCATGGCCGGTCCTTCCGCTGCACAAAAGACAATGGCCTAGCCTCACAGCTCTAGGCTTGGCTTCAGTAGCGGCTGCCAGGCCCAATTCCAGGTCCTGAGCAGACAAGCAGGCCCCTTCCCCCCTTCCTTCCTCTCTCACAGGGCTAACATTCCAGAACGGGACAGTTGCTCGAAGAAACTTCCAGCCTCACACTGGTGACTCATGTCTGTAATCCTAGCTACTCAGGAAGCTAAAATTCTCAGGGTTGCAGTTGGACAACAGCACGGGCAGAAAAGTCCGGGAGACAACTAAAATGCTGTGTGTGTACCTGCACACACGTGCACATTCACACACACACACACACACACACAGAATTGAGATCGTGCTTGGGAGAAAATGCAGCAAGGAAGTAGTCGCTGAGAAAAAGCTGAGTGAAAACAAGAAGCAGATCTGAAACACTGCAGGTGTTTTGTTTTGGGGGTTTTTTGGTCCATTTTGGGGCTTGAACACAGAGCCTGGGCACTGTCGCTGAGCTCTTTTGCTCAAAGCTAGTACTCTACCACCTGAGCCATAGTGCCACTTCCAGTTTTCTGGTGGCTCATTGGAGATGAGTCTCATGAACTTTTCTGCCTGGACTGGCTTTCAATTGTGATCCTCAGATCTCAGCCTCCTGAGTAGCTAGGATGACAGATGTGAGCTACTTGTGCCTATATTATTTCTCGACTTGGGAGCTTTGTGGCTTATCATTTGAAATCTTTTTTTTTTTTTCTTTTGATCAGCCATGGGGTTTGAACTCTGGGCCTGGGCACTGTCCCTCAGCTCTTCAGCTCAAGGCTAGCACTCTACTATTTGAGCCACAGTACCTACTTCCATCTTTATATTGTGCTGAGGAATCGAACCCAGGGCCTCATGCATGCCAGGCAAACACTCTACCACTGAGCCACCTTCCCAGCCCCATTTGAAATTGGGGATCAAACCCAGGGCCTCCTGCTTGTTCAGCAGGTGCTCTACCACTTGAGCTACAACTCCAGGCTGGCTTTGCACTGCGATCCTCAGGTCTGCCTCTTGAGTAGCTAGGATTACAGGCCTGAGCCCTCAGCGCTCTGATTTTGTTATTGTAAGAGAATTCCACACATCCATCCCAGGGGACCATGCAGAGGCAGGCAGGCACAGGAGAAAGATTATTATAAGGTTTATTAAAGGAGCCATATTTCCCCCAAGAGGGAGCACATGGCCTCGGTCACCATGCAGGTAGCAGGAGGGTCTGAGGGAGAGGAAGTGAGGTAGATGGGAGTTCAGGTGGGTCTGGGTGGAGAGAGGGAGGCGCCCGCTGTATGGAGGGAACTCCAGGAATGGGAAGGGGCCCAGGTCTAGGTGGAGCTGAGGACTAAAGGTAAGCATAATACTAACAGTTATCGCTTATTTGAAAGAGAGTCTCTCTATGTTAAGGCTGGATAGGAATTTCCAGGATCGAGCATTCCTTCTACCTCAGTTTCCCCAGTGTCCTAGGGAAGTGCTATAGCTAGGAAGCCAGGCAGCCTCTGGCCAGAGACCATCTAGAAACTGCATCATTATGGTTGGATCCCAGTGGCTCATGCTTAATAGTCCAAGCTACTCAAGAGGCTGAGATCTGAGAATCCAGGTTAAAAGCCTGCTGGGGGCAGTAAAGTCCTTGGGACTCTTTATTTCCAATTAACCCACCAAAAAGCCAGAATTGAAGCTGTGGTTCAAGTGGTGGGGGGCTAGCCAAAAATGCTGAGAGCTGTTCAAGTTCTAGCACTGTTACGCATGCGGACAGACACACACACAGAGCTGCTTGAGTTCAGAAGCAGATCTTATGAAGTTTTTCTATGACATCTCAGCCCCTGTTGTCCAGGTTTTGTTAGAGATCTGGAAACTCAGATGATCAATGTGAGGTCTTAGAAAGGACAAGGTTCTGGAGGGACTTATTATGAACAATAAAAGAGAATTAATTCAATAACATTAATTTCGTGCTGGGACTGGGGTTTAAAAATCAGGAGGCCTTCTCCCCCACGGTATAACTCCTGCTTTCACTGTATTTGATGTCGGTATAATTTGTGGAGGGGAAGGGAAAAAACAAATCGTTTAAATAGGGATACAGGTGGACGCATTGCAACAATGAGATGTACAAGTCGTTATGTCGAAAACGAACTTTACAACTTTGGTAGGGGGAGGGAGGAGAATTGGGAAGGGGGAGGAAACAAAGGAGGAGGCTACAATGCTTGATAAGAAATGTACTCATTATCTTGCCCATGTAATTGTAACCCCTCTGTATAGTATTTTCACAATAAAAATAAAAATAATAATAAAAATCAGGGACCTTTAGCCATTTGGCTCAAGGCTGATGCTCCACCACTTGAGCCACAGCTCCAGGCTGGTTTTGAATCGGATCCTCAGACCTCAGCCTCCTGAGTAGTTAGGATTACAGGCGTGAGCCACCATGCCCGGCTGCTCTACCACTTGAGCCACAGCTCCAGGTTTTGAACTGGAGCCTCAGATCTGCCTCTTGATTTTTTTGGGGGGTGGGGGGGGTGGGGGTGGGGTCCGCTTGTGGGGCCTGGGCGCTGCCCCTCAGCCCTTCAGCTCAAGGCTAGCGCTCTACCACTTGTGCCACAGCGCCACTTCCGCCCTTTTCTGCGTATGTGGTGCTGAGGAATGGAACCCAGGGCCTCATGCACGCAAGGCAAGCGCTCTACCTGAGCCACCTTCCCAGCCCCCAGATTACAGGAGTGAGCACTGGTGCCCAGCTTCAAGCTCACTTTCGCAAAGGCAGCCCGGATCTGACAGCCAAAGCAAGGGTCAGAAGGGCCAAACCCACCAAGGACTTGACAGTGAACGCTCCAGGTCGTGCCCCGGGGTCACGATCGACCCGCGGGATCCACACACACTGCCCAGAGACCACGCGCTTCCGCCCGCCCCAGCGGTCATCCTTTTCCACATCGCCGCGGGCACACTGGCAGCCAATCATGAGCTCAGTTTTGCTTCCGGGTTCCGGGCCGACCAATCGCCTTCGAGTCGAGCGACGCCACAACCAATCAGCGCGAAGCTCACCTGGAGACACCACCAATGGGTACACGCGGCGGGCCTCCCGCGGGCATGCGCGTATCTGGGAGCCAATGGGAAGGGGCGTCCGCGCGGCCCGGCGGCAGCGGCTCCCCGCGGCGGTGGGGCGGGTCCCGGGCTCCAGCCTGAGCCCCTTCCACCCAGGGTGAGTCTGGATCGGGGAGGGCGGGGGGCGGGGGAGGGAGAGGGGCTCCCAGGGGGCGCGCCTGGGAGCCTGCAGGGCGCATGCGCCTGGCGGGTCTGGCGAGCGCTCGGACCGGAGGTGCGGGACGGGAGCCCCGGGTCCGGACGTCCAGCCGGTGCACCCCGCAGTTACCGCCCGGAGCCGCCGGGTTTGGAGGGGTTGGTTTATTGGGGGGTGCAGGTTCCACCCTGGCTGGAGCTCTCCGGGGCCGAGGAAGGGAGCCAGCACGCCCATCCCCGGCGGGAGCCGCCCCGCCTCTGTTCAGCGCCGGCTGTGAACCCAGGCAGCTCAGCCCGCGGCCCTCCAGTCTTCCCCACGGTCCTCGGCGGCAGGCACCCCGATCGATCGCGTCTTATTTTCCAGAGAGAAGCCGCAGGCCAACATTCCCCTCTTCCCAGCTCCTTGCCATAAACCAGTAACAACCCCCCCCCCCCCCATCTCTGGAGTCCTGACTCTGGATTTGGGGGAACCTCGCTGGACAGGAAAGTCCGCAGGGCCTGGAGGTATAGGGGATTGAAATCATGACGGGAAAGAAAACCGATCCCGATACTGAAACCCAAACCTTGGTTGAATCAATGAACTCCTACTTTTCCTCGGGCCCTCCCTCTTCCACGCTACGGTCCATTCTGATGGTGATTTTATTCTGATGTAGATCGCATTTGCTTGTTTGTTTCCTACTCGATTCAAGGACCGTGCTGAAGATGTAACACGCAGAACCATGTTGACAGCGGGCTGTTTTTCCACACCACCACCCTCTCCCCGCCCCTTCTCTCCTCCCCACGGGCAACCAGGACCAGAGTAGCTGAGTGAATTGCCTGAGCTGACACAGGAAACTACAGCACGATCCCCATGTCAGCAGTGTTTGAACACAGCCTGATTATTTCAGAAAGGTTGGTTTTTGGGAGGGAGGGAGGAAGGACAGACTCTTTTCATATTGCCCACCACCGTATAGAGCTAGAGTGGATTTTTTTTTTTTTTTTTTGGTGCTTATCCTGGGACTTGAATTCAGGGCCTGAGTATCATTTCTGAGCCACGGTTCCATTTCTAGCTTTTAGTTGCTTAATTGGTGATAAGAGTCTCATGGGGGCTGGGAAGGTGGCTCAGTGGTAGAGCGCTTGCCTTGCATGCATGAGGCTCTGGGTTCGATTCCTCAGCACCACATAAGCAAAAAGAAAAAAGCCGGAAGTGACGCTGTGGCTCAAGTGGTAGAGCGCTCGCCTTGAGCTGAAGAGCCGAGGGACAGTGCCCAGGCCCAGAGTTAAGGAGTCTCATGGGCTCTCCTGCTTGGGCTGGTTTCCAACTTGGATCCTCAGATCTCACCCTCCTGTGTAGCTAGGATTACGGGTATGAGCCACTGGCGCTCTGCTTCTTTTTATTTATCTTAATTTTAATATTATCTCTTTTTTTTTTTTCCTTTTGTTGGTTGTGGAGCCTGAACTCTGGGCCTGGGCGCTGTCCCTCAGATCTCAGCTCAAGGCTAGCGCTCTACCACTTGAGCCACAGTGCCACTTCTGGCTTTTTCTGCTTATGTGGTGCTGAGGAATTGAACCTAGGGCCTCATGCATGCAAGGCGAGCACTCTACCACTGAGCCACCTTCCCAGCCCTTTAATGTTATTTCTGAGTCAAACCTCTAGCCCCGAAGTGGATTCTTATATTGGTGCAAATTTATCCACAGAAGAGAAGAGAACCTTCACACCACAGAAGAGAACCTTCACACTGTGCTTACTAGTGTCCACCTGTAGTCCCAGCTGCTCAGGCAGCTGAGGCAGAAGGATCTTGAACCCAGATATTCTCAAAAAACAAAAAAATAGGGGCTGGGAAGCTGGCTCAGTGGTAGAGCGCTTGCCTTGCATGCATGAGGCCTTGGGTTCTATTCCTCAGCACCACATAAGCAGAAAAAGCCAGAAGTGGCGCTGTGGCTCCAGTGGTAGAGCGCTTGCCTTGAGCTGAAGAGCTGAGGGGCAGCGTCCAGGCCCAGAGTTCAGGCCCCATGACCAGCAAAAAAAAAAATACTTGGACACTGGTGGCTCAGACCTGTAATCCTAGCTACTCAGGAGGCTGAGAGCTGAGGATCCCAGTTCAAACCTAGCCAGGGCAAGAAAGTTTGTCAGGCTCTTATCTTGAATGAGCCATCAGAAAAGCCAGAAATGGCTCCAATGGTAGAGCGCTAGCCTTGAGCACAAAAGCTTAGCGATAGTGCCCAGGTCCTGAATTCAAGGCTGGGGACCTGCAAAAAGAAAGAAAAAAGAGGAGCTGGGTGCTAGTGGCTCACACCCTAAAACATCAGGGAGGGGGGGTGATGTTAGTATGGCTGACAGGTGGTATAGGTAGGGCCCTGCCCACCCCAAATGTGTTGATTGACAGCCCATTCTCCAATTAAGCATGGACATTATTGCCAGGGAGGAGAAATGGGTACTTAAGGTTCCTCAGATCCAGGGAGCCCCAAATTTGCCCCTCAGGCCTCTGCCCAGATGGATGCAGCTAGTAGGGCTATCTAGCGAGGTTGACCTCGTGGCTGACACTGTCTGTCCCTCCCGAGGTGTCTGCCGTGAGGAGCATGTCCCTTCAGAAGCGATTTCCAGCCCAGTCCAGCGAGCCCACAGCGGTGGACGCACAGCCCATGGCCGCCGTGGGAAGTGTGAAGGTGCTACTGCACTGGGTCGGCCCCGCAGGTGGGGAGCCCTGGGTCACCTTCAACGATTCCCTGCTGACTGCAGAGGAGATCTGTGTTCAGATTGCACACAAAATTGGTGAGTCACGGGTGGGCTGGAGGCGGGGCACAAGACCAGGCCCCAGTCAGTTTTTTCCTTTTTATTTTCCACTCAAAGCTGGCATTTTACCACTTGAGCCACAGCTCCACGACCAGCTTTTTGGTGGTTCATTGGAGATGAGAATCTCATGGACTTTCTACCTAGGCTGGCTTTGAACTGTGATCACCACATCTCAGCATTTTAAGTAACTAGGATTACAGGCAGGATTGGGGTCTTGCTAATTTTGCCTGGGCGGACCTCACACCCCCTATTCCTGTCTCTGCCTCTCAGTCGCTGGGATTACAGGTGTGCACCACTGGGCCTGTTCATCAGCTCCAGTTCACAGGAGGGAAGATGACAGGAAACGTAATAAGTGATATTGAGAGGGTGTTTATTTGGAGCGCTGAGAAGGTTTATTCGAGGAGGTGTTGTTTGAACAAAAACCCTTCAAATAGGGCAGGGGGAGATGGTACCAGGCAGAGCACACAATATGTGCAAAGGCCCTGGGGTTGGAACTTGCCAGGGACAGAAGGAAACCTGTGGGGCTGGAATGGGGTGATTGAAGGGGAGAAGGGAGGTGGCGACAAGGGAGATTGCACAGGGCCTTGTGAACCTGTGGGAGGATTTGGGATTTTATTCAGAGTAAGGAGGGAGGCGTACTACTCAGGAGGCTGAGATCTGAGGATCGCGGTTCAAAGCCAGCCCGGGCAAGAGAGACTGTGAGACTCCTATCTCCAATAAACCACCAGAAAAACCGGAAGTGGCGCTGTGGCTCAAGTGGTAGAGCGCTAGCCTTGAGCTGAAGAGCTGAGGGACAGCGCCCAGGCCCAGAGTTCAAGCCCCACGACCGACAAAAAAAAAAAAAAAAGGAGGGAGGCGTAGAGGGTTCTGAGCAGAGAAGGACGTGTCTAGACCGAGTGCTTACTCACCTATGCTCTTTGGCTGTGGTCCAGGAAACAGAGTCTGACACAAAATGGATTCTGGGAAATGATGGGAGAGAGAGAGAGAAACAGTCTCCCGCCAGGCTAGATGTTACCTTGCCTGGTAGGATGGAGGAAGGATTCTTTTTTTTTTTTTTTTTCGGTTGGTCATGGGTCTTGAACTCTGGACCTGGGCGCTGTCCCTCAGCCCTTCAGCTCAAGGCAAGCGCTCTACCACTTGAGCCACAGCGCCACTTCTGGTTTTCTGGTGGTTCGTTGGAGATAAGTGTCTCACAGACTTTCCTGCCCAGGCTGGCTTTGAACCTCGATCTTCAGATCTCAGCCTCCTGAGTAGTTTAGGATTACAGGCCACTAGCACCTGGCTTAATTTCAGTGTTTTATTGTAGCTAGGATGACAGCTTCATACCACCAAACCTAGCTAGGCAACCGGTTGAGATGCTATTTCACTGAATTTTTTTTTGCCCAGGCTGGCCTTTAACCACAGTCCTCTAGATCACAGTCTTTTGAGTAGCTAGGATTGAAGGCCTGACCAACTGGTACTTCCTTTTTTTCTTTTGGTCACTCTTGGGCTTGAACTCAGGGCCCGGGCACTGTCCCTGAGCTTTTTCACTGTAGGCTAGTGCTCTACCACGTGAGCCACAGCGCCACTTCCAGCTTTTTTCTGTTTGCTTATGTGGTGCTGAGGAATCGAACCCAGGGCCTCATGCATGCAAGGCAAGCGCTCTACCACTGAGCCACCTTCCCAGCCCCTCTTCTACTTCTTATAAAGCCACAAATACCGTTCTAGGGGCCCCACCTTCTAGACCCATGTAATCTCCCAGAGACCCTTCTGGAGATGAATATCCCAGCAGTGATTCACTCCTCTGGCCATCTTTTCCCCCCTCACCACCCCACAGATGTCTTTCTTGATGTTCATGCTAAGAAAGGGGTGTTCTGCTGTCAGAAAGTTGGTTCTGCTGTCAGAGGGGTACAAGGAACCACAAAGGGCCCTGGATAGTTCCTCCAACCACCCAGCTGAGGGGACTGTGCCCACTCTATGGGTTTGAGCTCTATGGGTTTGAGGAAGCAGGGGAGCTTCGGGGTGACTGGTGTCCATTCTCAGAACTAGGAAGGAGAAGCAGGAACAGAATCCAGGGCATGATAACAGATGCCGGCTAGAGCTGTTCAGGCTGAGGGCTCAGACCTTCTCAGCAGGAAGTGGGGAACTCAGACATTGTGTGACTGTTTTCTCTCACAGAAAACCAATGCCTCGCCAGGCGTCAGTGGCTCATACCTGTCATCCTAGCTGAGATCTGAGGATTGTGGTTCAAAGCCAGTCCAGGCAGGAGAGTCCAGGAGACTCTTATCTCCAATGAACCACTGGGGGAAAAAAAAATGTGGAAGTGGAGGAGCTGTGGCTCAAGTGGTAGAGAACTAGCCTTGAGCCAAAAAGCTCAGTGACAGCACCCAAGCCCTGAGATCCAGCCCCAGGACCAGCACACACACACACACACACACACACACACATACACACACACCAATGCCTGAGTGAATCAAAGAGAAGTTCACTGTGACTCACAATTTTGTAGGACGTGGCCCAGTATTGGTTGCTTTGGGCATGTGGTTGAGACAAATGTAAGGGAAGCAGCTTGTGTCAGAGCCAAATTGCCCTCATCAGAGCTAAGAAGCAGAGAAATCAGCAGAGTCTAATCTCTGGGACATTCAACTGCCAATAACCTAAAGACCTCCCGCCAGGCCTTGCCTTGTTCCACAACCTCCTAATAGCACCCTCCTCAGGGCCAGTCCTTTAATGCACAGGCTGACTTGAAGAATGAGTCTTATAGAATGTATATTTGGCGGGGGGGGACATACTTGGGGACCTTGGATGAGATGTGTCTGAAACAGAGCACATCAAAGGAGTCCTTTGACAGCAGGGCATAGTGGGATATTTCTTTGGCGTTAGAGTTACAGGCAAATCTCAGCTGATCTCATTGCTTTCCTGTCCCAGGCATCACTCCGCCCTGTTTCAATCTCTTTGCCCTCTTCGATGCCCAGGCCGGAGTCTGGCTGCCCCCAAACCACACCCTGGACATGTCCAGAGACACAAATATGACGCTGTTATTCCGAATGAGGTGGGTAAAGCCTGAGGGAAGGCTTGTCCCTGCGTGTCCAGGCCTGGGCCAGTTATATTCCTTCCCTTCTTGCAGGTTTTATTTCCGCAACTGGCATGGCCTGAACTCTCAGGAGCCTGCTGTATACCGCTGCGGATTCCCAGGGGTTGAAGCACCCTCAGAACGGGCAGAGCAGGGGGTGCAGCTCTTGGACTCAGCCTCATTTGAGTACCTCTTTGAGCAGGTATGCGCAGACTGTAAAGCGTCGTCAGCTCCCTCTCTGATTCATTATAGCGAATCCGTCTCAGCTCATGCCAGCTGGTTTCCTTCAGTTGCCGGAAGAGTAAAAGACCTTGGGCTGGAGCTGGGGATGTGGTGTCTTTCAAAGTCAGGCTCATCGGGGCTGGGAAGGTGGCTCAGTGGTAGAGCACTTGCCTTGCATGCCTGAGGCCCTGGGTTCAATTCCTCAGCACCACATAAGCAAAAAGAAAAAAGCCGGAAGTGGTGTTGTGGCTCAAGTGGTAGAGCATTAGTCTTGAGCTGAAGAGCTGAGGGACAGCGCCCAGACCCAGAGTTCAGGCGCAATGACCGGATCCAAAAAAAAATAAGAAAAAAAAAAACAGCTACTCAAGAGGCTGCGATCTGAGGATCACAGTTCAAAGCCAGCCCAGCAGGAAAGTCCCTGAGACTCTTCCCCCCCCGCCCCGCCCCTCCCATTCTCCCTGAGACTCTTATCTCCAGTAAACCACCAGAAAACTGAAAGTGGCGCTGTGGGTCAAGTGGTAGAACACTAGCTTTGAGCTGAAGAACTGAGGGACAGCGCCCAGGCCCAGAGTTCAAGCCACATGACCGACAAAAACAACAACAATGGGGCTGGGAAGGTGGTTCAGTGGTAGAGTTCTTGCCTTGCACGAGGCCTTGGGTTAGATTTCTCAGCACCACATACGCAGAAAAAGCTGGAAGTGGTGCTGTGGCTCAAATGGTACAGTGCTAGCCTTGAGCTGAAGTGCTGAAGGACAGCTCCCGGGACCAGAGTTCAGGCCCCACAACTAACAACAACAACAACAAAAAAACAAACCAGTGTGGATTGAGTACTGGGATTGATTAGTGATGTCTGTTAGTGGCCCAGGATTAATTAGTGATGTCTGTTACAGGCACAGGATTGAACTGATAAGATTGTATTTAGCCTTTCCTAAAAATGATGACTTCTTCCTCTACAAAATGCTTAGAGCCAAGCAAGTAAATTTCTCTAGCTATAGAGAGTAAAACTGTTCTCCCTCTTCTCCCCACTCTCAGGGCAAGCATGAGTTTGTGAATGATGTCGTCTGCCTATGGGAGCTGACTAGTGAGGAAGAGATACACCACTTTAAAAACGAAAGCCTTGGCATGGCCTTCCTGCACCTCTGCCATCTCTCTCTCTGCCGTGGTGTCCCTCTGGAGGACGTAGCCAAGGAGATCAGGTGTCTGGGGACACTGAGTTGATGGGTGGAAATGCCTTTCACATCAGGTGGCTGGGATGAACCACAGTGTTGAAAGAAGAAAGGAAATAGAGAATGGGAGAAGAAAGGAAGAAGGGAGAGAGGGAGGGAGGGAGGGAAGGAGGGCAGGCAGGCAGGAGGGAAGGAAGGAAGGAAAAGAAAAGGAGAGAAGAAAGCAAGCTATCTGCCATACCGGTGGCAGGTGCAGGGATGACAGGGGGAAGAGGACAGAGTAGGGAGGACAGGGAAGGATTTTGTGACCAGAGCTGTGCCTTTTAGTGATCATCTGAAAATGAAAGAATGGGGCTGGGAAGGTGGCTCAGTGGTAGAGCGCTTGCCTCGCATGCATGAGGCCCTGGGTTCGATTCCTCAGCACCACATACACAGAAAACTCTGGCAGCGGCACTGTGACTTAAGTGGCAGAGCGCTGGCCTTGAGCCAGAGAAGCTCAGGGACAGCACCCAGGCCCAGAGTTCCAGCCCCAGGACTGGCAGGAAATAAAAAGTAAAAAAATGGAAGAACTCCAAATGGGGCTTGGAACTCAGGGCCTTGAGCTCTGGATTGCCGCCCGAGGCTCCACGCACTCCCAACCCTGAGCCACACCTTCAGTTCCAGCTAGAGACTTACCTGCTCCGGGGCTGGCTTCGAACCTGGACCCTTAGCCCTGTGGAGTTGCTGGGATTACAGGCATCATGGAGCCTGTACCATGGGTTGGACCATTGTGTGTGCCTGTTTTCTAGACAGGTGACAGCCACTTTGCCTAGGTGATGTCACCCAGGGTGTCACCCAGTCCCCTGACACCCCCACCCCGCCCCCCCTCTCCCCACCCCAGCTTCAAGGACTGCATCCCGCGCTCCTTCCGCCAGCAGATCCGCCAGCACAACGCGCTGACGCGCCTGCGCCTGCGCAGTGTGTTCCGCCGCTTCGTGCGCGCCTTCCAGCCGCGCCAGCTGTCGGCGCACGCCGTCATGGTCAAGTACCTGGCCACGCTGGAGCGCCTGGCGCCGCGCTTCGGCGCCGAGCGCCTGCCCGCCCGCCAGCTGCAGCTGCAGGCCCAGGCCCCGGGGCCGCCCTGCTACACCCAGGACGCCCGGCCGGGCCCCGAGGACCCCGGCCCCGACTCAGCCCTCCCCCCCGGGCCCCCCACGCACGAGGTGCAGGTGACCGGCACGGGGGGCATCCAGTGGCGGCCGGTGCAGGCCGAGGTGAGCCGGGCCACGCTTCTGCCCTCGGGGGCCGGGGGCGGGAAGGGGGTGTCTCCATTCATCCCCGGTGAGGCTGCCCAGGGCCTTCTGTGCTTGGGAACTCCTGTGTGTCTGTGTGTCTTGGTCCTTGGCTTGAACTCAGGGCCAGGGCGCTGTTGCTGAGCATTTGTACTCAGGGCTGGTGCTCTACCACTGGAGTCACAGCCCCACTTCCGGCTTTTTGCTGGCTCGTTAGAAATTTCAAATTTTGAGTTTCTACAGATTGTCCTGCGCAGGACACGGCTTTGAACTACATGATCCTCAGATCTCAGCCTCCTGAGTAGCTAGAATTACAGGCGGCAGCCACCAGCGCCCAGCTTTGGGAGCTACTTTTTTTAGTGTTCTGTTCTACAAGTTGATATCTGGGCCGTGAAGCTCCAGGGGGCCCAGTGCAGGGGACAGAACCCAGGGCCTCACACATGCCGAGCAGGCGATCAGCCACTGATCTGTACCCCAGCCCTGGGGAACTTTTTTTTTTTTGTGCTCATCCTGGGGCTTGAACTCGGAGCCTGGGCACTCTCCCTGAGCTTTTTTGCTCAAGGCTTGGTGCTCTGCCACTTGGGCTGCAGAACCACTTGGTGGTTAATTGGAAATAAGAGGCTCACAGACTTTTTTTGCCCAGGCTGGAACGTGGCAGGGAGGGTGGGCAGTGGATGAATTGGGTCTCTCTTCTGCTCTGCCAGAGATTCTGGCTTCTGCCCTGGATAGTTTGTATTACTTGTGGCCATAGGTGGCAGGTTCCCCAGCTCCTGTCTTGCCCCTGGGGGTATAATCAGGCATGATGTATGTGTGGGGCATGGGCTGGCCTGTTAACCTCCCATTCCAGCTAATCTAAAGCCTAAGACAGAGGATTACCTGAGCTTCATAGGCTGCTTGGGATGAGGCTCAAGTGGTAGAGGACCTTCCTTACAAGCATTAGGACTTGAGTTCAAACCCCAGTACCACCAAAACCAAACTTTTAGCTCCAGTAGCTCTCTCCTGAGCTTCTACCTACTCAGGAGGCTGAGCTCTAAGGGATCTGATTTGAAGCCAGCCAGGGCATGAAAGTCTGTGAGACTCTGATCTCCAATGAACCACCAAAAAGCCAGAAGTGGAATTGTGAGTCAAGTGGTAGAATCTCAAGAGCGCAAAGCCCTGAGTTAAGTAAACAGGCCTTGTTCGCTATGTCTCTACCCCAGGGGCTGGGTTCCCAGGATCCCCAGGGCGGCAATGGCGGCAGCAGGAACCCCCAGGCCCGCCCGTCCCGGAAGAAAGGCAAGGCCCACCCGGCAGGACAGCAGGTGGTGGGCAGGCCCTGGGAGTCGCCCTGGACCTACTTCTGTGATTTCCAAGACATCTCCCACGTGGTGCTGACAGACAGCCGCGTCAGCATCCGCCGGCAGGACAACCAGTGCCTGGTGCGGCCCGGGCCGCAGCCCGGGGGAGGGCAGCGGGGCAGCTCCCACCCCCACTGCCCACCTGACGTCCCCCTGGCCCACAGGAGTTCAGCCTGCTTTCTCGGGCCAGCGCCTTGTCTTTCGTGGCGCTGGTGGACGGCTACTTCCGCCTGACGGCCGACTCCAGCCACTACCTGTGCCACGAGGTGGCGCCGCCCCGGCTGGTGATGAGCATCCAGGATGGCATCCACGGACCCCTGCTGTGAGGGGGCGGGGCCGGGGCGGGGCCGGCACGCTGGGGCAGGGAGGGGGCGTGGCCGGCACGCTGGGGCGGGGCAGGAACAGGAGGCACGTCAGCAAATGGGGCGGGGCACCAGCAGGAGGGGCGTGGTCAGCACACTGGGAGGGTGGGGCGTATCTGGGAACCTGTTCACTGTTGAGTGCATATGCACTGTCCACATAGGGGTGTCAGCTCTAATGTGAGTGTGTGTGTGAGTGTGTGTGTGGTCGGTAGTGCACAGGGTTTGCCTTCATCAGCATGCATACGTGTTTCCAGGAATTGTGCACATGTGTCTGTGAGTGTGCAGGGGCAAACACCCACCTGTCCCAGGGGCACATGTGCCCGGGTGTGGGCGTGTATGCCTAAGTGTGCAATGTGTCTATGGCACTCAGTGCGCTCACAGACATGGACATGTGTGCAACATGTATGTGTCCTGTACATGCACAAATGTGGTACACTCATGCATGCATGCTGTATTTTATACGCATTTGTGCACACCCACACATGCACGTGTGCATATGGGGCACGTGTGTAGACGAGGGCTTGGGTGGTGTGGGTACCCGGGCTAGGTGTGGTAGCACGTCATGGTGAAAGTGTCACTCTGGAGCTGTCAGCCCGTTTCCTTGGATGTTTAACTGCTTGTGTTTGTCTCTTATGTTTGTGATTGGCACCACCTACGTGTCCAGCAGCTTTTACTGTCCATTTGTACTTTTGTTGTGCTTTTTTTGGGGGGTGATATTGAAGATTGAACTCAGAGCCTGAAGCGTGCTAGGCTGGCACAGTGGTTGAGCCACACTTCCAGCCTTGTTTTGCCCTGATTATTTTTCTTTTTCTGTTGGTTGAGGGGTTTGAACTCTGGGTCTCTGCGCTGTCTCTCAGCTCTTCAGTTCAAGGCGAGTGCTCTACCACTTGAGCCACAGCGCCACTTCCAGTGTTCAGGTGGTTCATTGGAGATAAGAGTCTCCAAGGACTTTCCTGCCCTGGCTGGCTTTGAGCTGTGATCCTCAGATCTCAGCCTCCTGAGTAGCTAGGATGACAGGCATGAGCCACCGGCACCCAGCTTGCTCTGGTTATTTTTGTGTGTACGTGTGCCAATACTGAGGTTTGAACTTAGGGACTCATGCTCTTGCTTGTCTTTTTCCACTCAAGGCCAGAGCCCTACCACTTGAGCCACAGCTCTGCTCTGACTTTTTGGTGGTTCTTTGGGGATAAGTCTCAGACTCCTACCCTGGCTGGCTTTGAACCTTGATCTTCAGATCTCAGCCTCCTGAATAGCAGGGATTATAGGTGTGAGCTCCTGGCCCCTCGCTTCATTAAGCCCTCTTGTTTCCCCTTCAGGGATCCGTTTGTGCAAGCGAAGCTGCGGCCGGAAGACGGGCTGTACCTCATTCATTGGAGCACTAACCATCTGTACCGCCTCATCCTCACAGTGGCCCAGCGTGACTCGGTGGGCCTGGGCTGGCGAGGGGTGACTGACGGGAGCCTGGCTGGGCCACACTGTCTGCTCAGATCTCTGCTCACTGTCCCTTCCTCCCACCGCAGGCACCCGGGGTGCGGGGCTTGCGCCTCCGGAAGTTCCCCATCCTGCAAGAGGCCGGGGCCTTTGTGCTGGAGGGTTGGGGCCGCTCCTTTGCCAGCATCAGGGAGCTGCGGGTGGCTTTGCAGGGCTGTGCCCTGCGGGCTGGCGAGGACTGCTTCCCCCTGCGCCGCTGCTGCCTGCCCCGACCTGGAGGTAGATGCGGAGGGTGGGGACCAGAGTCTGGGCCTGGCATCTCTTTCCCCCCTCCCCAGCCAGCCCCTATCTTGTGATTTCGCTTCTGCCCCTAGAAATCTCCAACCTCCTCATCATGCGGGGGTCGCGGCCCAACAGCCAGCCGCCTAATCTCAGCCAGCTCAGCTTCCACCGGGTGCATCAGGAGGAGATCACCCAGGTGGGTGTGGCCATGGTGGGCGGGGCGGCCAGCGTCGCAGGGTGGGGTTAGCCAGAGGAGGCTGGGATACCGGATCCAATGGGATGCAACACTCCCCCAAGTGGGCGTGGCCACCAAGTCCACTAAAAGCACCTCGGTGGGCGTGGCTACAGGGCTCTGGTGGGCGGGGCTTGGTCTAAGGGCTGGGTCTCAGGATTTCAAATCACTGGCCGTGTTCGTGGGCGGGGCCTGCGGTGGGCGGGGCCTGCGGTGGGCGGGCCCCTGGCTGCTGCCCGATGGTGCCAGCTGGGCCTAAGGTCCTATCCTGTGCGGCTTCCTACAGCTCTCCCACCTGGGCCAGGGTACAAGAACGAACGTGTACGAGGGCCTCCTACGTGTGGGGGTCCCGGAGGAGGAGGAGGAGGAGGACAAAGTGGACAGTGGGATCTCTCTGGAGCCATGTGGAGGCCGTGGGCAGGAGCTACGCGTGGTGCTTAAAGTCCTGGACCCCAGTCACCATGACATCGCCCTGGTGAGAGTGGGCCACCAGCCCTGAGCTGGCTGTCGTGGGGAGGGGAACGGGACAAGCGGGGGAGGGGGAAGGGGGGAGCTTTGCAGCCCCACGACCTGCCCCGTTCCCTCAGGCCTTCTACGAGACTGCCAGCCTCATGAGCCAGGTCTCCCATGTACACCTGGCCTTCGTGCATGGCGTGTGTGTGCGTGGCTCCGAGAGTGAGTTGGGACCCCATCCACACCCACAGCCCTTTGCAGACACACCCATTTCCCTGGCTGTACCCCCACTCCAGGCTTTGCATGTTCTCTGAGCCACCCCCCCCCCTCTGATTACCCAAACATGGCCTGAATCCTGACTCTGAGCTAACCTTGACCTTCCCTCCATCACCCACCCCTGACTGTATGCCAACTCTCTTCCTACATCCTAACCCCAGATTACACTTTGCCTGCCCTCATCTGTACCCCAACTTTCCATCTACCCCCTGATGGCTAGCTACACCCCCATCTCCATCTTCCACTTTGCCTTCTGCACCCCAGTCCCCGTCAACCTTCCAACCGTAGGGGCACAGTGGCCCATGCAGTCCCCCAGGCTTGTTGTGACCCACCCCCCAATCCTCCCACACCTCTAGCTCTGCCATGCAGCCTGCTTAGAGCTGGTGCTATCCATTACCCCTCCCCATGGGGTCCTCCAGGAGTCTTAAATAGATCCCAAGCCAGGCTCCCGTGGCTCACGCCTGTCATCTTAGCTACTCAGGAGGCTGAGATCTGAGGATCGCAGTTCAAAACCACCTGGGGCAGAAAAGTCTGGCTGAGAGACAGCACCCAGGACCAGAGTTCAAGCCCCACAACCGACCCCCCCAAAAAAAAAAAAACTAGTGGGATCCCAGTCTTGCCATAATGGGACCCAAGTGTGTAGTCATCTTTCCACTCCATCCCCCATTTCTCTTGTGAGTCTCTCCCAAACCACTCCCCACCCCCCCACCACGCACACCTTCCCCAACCCCGACATTCTGCCCCGGCCCCTGGAGAAGGGGGGCAGATGGGAGACGTGGGGAGGGGAGGGTCCTGGAGCAGCCGGATCTTCGCAGACATCATGGTGACAGAGTACGTGGAACACGGGCCCCTGGATGTGTGGCTGCGGAGAGAGCGGGGCCACGTGCCCATGGCCTGGAAGGTGGCGGTGACCCAGCAGCTGGCCAGTGCCCTCAGCTACCTGGTATGTGGCCTGCAGGTGGCACTGTTGTCAGCCAGAGGGGCTGGGGAGCCTGGGCATTGCCTGGGGAGAGGACACACACAGCCCTCCTCCACAAGCAGGTATCCGGCCTTGACTGCCTTTTATTATTATTATTTTGTGTGTCCTGGGACTTGAACTCTGGGCCTGGGCGCTGTCCCTGAGCTTTTCTGCTCAAGCCTAGCACTCTACCACTTGAGCTACAGCGCCACTTCCAACATTTGGTGCTTCATTGGAGTCTCACAGATGTTCCTGCCCCGGCTGCCTTTGAACTATGATCCTCAGATCTCAGCTTCCTAATTAGCTAGGATCACTGGCACCTAGCTTCTCTTTCTTTTTTTTTTTTTTTTTTTGGGTCTGGTCGTGGGGCCTGAACTCTGGGCCTGGGCGCTGTCCCCCAGCTCTTCAGCTCAAGGCTAGCAGTCTACCACTTGAGTCACAGCGCCACTTCCAGCTTTTCTCTTTTTGCTTATGTGGTGGTGAGGAATCAAACCCAGGGCCTCAGGCATGCAAGGCAAGCGCTTTACCACTGAGCCACCTTCCCAGCCCTTCTCTTTCTTTTCTGTGCTGGTAATAGGGCTTAAACTTAGGGCCTTGTGTTCTGCTCCAGGCCGGCTCTCTACCCCTTGAGCCACACCCTAAACTTGGACCTGGGATTTTTTTTTTTTTTGTCAGTCATGGGGCTTGAACTCTGGACTTGGGCTCTATCCCTGGGCTCTTCAGCTCAAGGCGAGTGCTCTACCGCTTGAGCCACAGCGCCACTTTCAGTTTTCAAGTGGTTTATTGGAGATAAGAGTCTCACTGACTTTCCTGCCCCAACTGGCTTTGAGCCATGATCCTCAGATCTCAGCCTCCTGAGTAGCTGGGATTACAGATGTGAGCCACCGGCACCCGGCTTGGGACCTGGGGTTTTTGTTGGGAAGAGACAAGGACAATTCATCATTCATAGTTCCTTATGGGTTCCAGGGTTCTTGAATGTTCAAGTTCCTTCTATAAAATGATACAGTGTACATTGGGTATGGTGGCTCATTGATATAATTCCAGCTACTTGGGAGGCAGAGATAAGAGGATCACAGATGGAGGCCAGCCAATCCCCCCTCCAAATAAAACAACATAGGAAAACCCTATCTCAAAATAAGATAGGCATGCTAGCACACATCTATAATCCCAGCACTCCAGAGGCTTAGACAGGTGAAATTCTAGGTCAGCCTTAGGCTACAGAGTGCCAGGTCTCAAAAATAAATGAATAAAGAGGTGGGCTGGGGAAGGTCTCACTCATTATGGAGGTGAGGGAAGGAGTAGGGAAGATGGGGGTGGGAGAATGTATCAGGGGAGGGCACAGGTAATGCAGAGGCCCTGGGGCAGGAGGGTGCCTGGCACAGGTATGAGATTAGCAATGGGGTCTTCTGGCCTTTGGTCCTTGGAAAGAGCCTTGGCCACCAACTCGGCCCCCTCGTGCTGTTGCCTGGTTACAATGCCAGAGTATGGGCATCCCATAATGACCATGGTGCCCTTTGCACATAAATGCCAATAGAGTTTGGGGTGTACACAGTCTGTGGTCACCCCTTTCCGTTCCTGTCTCCCCCACCCCCAGGAAGACAAGAGCCTGGTTCACGGTAATGTGTGTGGCCGAAACATCTTACTAGCCAGGCCGGGGCTGGCAGAGGACACCAGCCCATTCATCAAGTTGAGTGACCCCGGCGTGGGCCTGGGGGCGCTCTCCAGAGAGGGTGAGTACCCCTACGGGGCAGGGCACCAGGGACGGGGTGTCCCTCCTCTTTCCACCCTCCATGACCTCTGACCTTGTCCGCAGAGCGCGTTGAGCGCATACCCTGGACGGCTCCCGAGTGCCTGACCGGCGGAGCCAACAGCCTGAGCACCGCGGCGGACAAGTGGGGCTTTGGCGCCACCCTGCTTGAGATCTGCTTTGATGGGGAAGCCCCCCTCCAGGGCCGCGGCCCCTCTGAGGTACATCTACGACATCCCTGGGCCTCCAGCTCCTGGGGTTCATCGCTGTGCTTTTGCTTTTGTTTTTTGTCGGTCGTGGGGCTTGAACTCTGGGCCCGGGCGCTGTCCCTCAGCTCTTCAGCTCAAGGCGAGCGCTCTACCACTTGAACTACAGCGCCACTTCCGGTTTCCTGGTGGTTTGTTGGAGATAGGAGTCTCACGGAAAGCCGGGCGCTGGTGGCTCACGCCTGTAATCCTAACTACTCAGGAGGCTGAGATCTGAGGATCGCAGTTCAAAGCCAGCCTGGGCAGGAAAGTCCGTGAAACTCTGATCTCCAATAAACCTCTAGAAAACCGGAAGTGGCACTGTGGCTCAAGTGGTAGAGCGCTCGCCTTGAGCTGAAGAACACAAAGACAGCGCCCAGGCCCAAAGTTCAAGCCCCATCATGACTGACCAAAAAAAAAAAAAAGTCTCACGGACTTTACTGCCCCAGGTGGCTTTGAACCTCAGTCCTCAGGTCTCAGGTTGCTGAGTAGCTAGGATGACAGGCGTGCGCCACCAGCGCCCGGCTTGGCCTTACCTTTTAAGGAAATCAATAGTGGCCAAGGCACACAGCCAAGCAAGCAGTAGGCTTCAATTGTGAGCAGGGCAGAGGCAGACTCATCTTAGAGTCTGCATAACGCTTACCTTCCTTGAAGTTTTTTTTTTTGTCGGTTGAGGGGCTTGAACTCTGGGCCTGGGTACTGTCCCTCAGCTCTTCAGCTCAACGCGAGCACTCTACCCAGGGTGTGAGGCAAGCACTCTACCGATGAGTTAGTGGACAAGTGTGGGAGTTTATTCCTGTAATCCAGGTAATTAGGAGGCAGAAGTAGGAGTAAAAACAAATCTCAAGACTTGGCACTTGGGACTCATGCCTCTAATCCTAGCTACTCAGAAGGCTTTGATCTGAGGATCACAGTTTGAAACCAACCCAGGCAGGAAGTCTGTGAGTCTTGTATCTCCAATTAGAAAACCGGATGTGGCACTAGGGTTCAAAGTGGTAGAGTACTAGTCTTAAATGAAAGAGCTCAGGGGCACCACCAGGCTCTGAGTTCAAGCCCTGGCTCACTGCCTACATCAACAACAAATCTCAGGACCCTATCCAAAAAATTATAAGCCAAAAGGGTTGGTGGTGTGGTTCAAGTGGTAGAGTACCTGCCTCACACTGAGTTCAGTTTTAAGTACCAAAAAAAAAAAAAAAAAAAGTACAGAATTAGCTCGCTTGCATGGCTAGAAAGGATAACTATATGGCCCAGCCTGTGCAAAGGTCCTGAGGCCAAGCATTGAGGAAGCAGTATTACAAATCACCACAGGCTTCAAGGGTGGGTGGAAGCCAGGGCACTAAGGACCCACAGGGAACCTGGAACTTGTCTCTGCCGCTCTCTGGGAGCCTCCCCTTCCTGTAACACTTGGGAATGAAAAGAGTCAGGCACTTAGCTGGGGGCCTTATGCTCCCAGAATTTGGCTGGGCTCTTGGAGAAGGGTGTCATAGATGGGGTGCTCACCGCCCCCCCCACCCCCTGGTATGTAGAAAGAGCGTTTCTACCAGAAGCAACACCAGCTACCCGAGCCCTCGTGCCCTGAGCTGGCCACACTCACCAGCCAGTGCCTGACCTATGAACCTGCCCAGCGGCCGTCCTTCCGCACCATTCTGCGCGACCTCACTCGGCTGCAGCCCCACAGTGAGCCTTAGGGCCGCGCTGGGCCCCTGGGGAGTGGGGATGGACAGGGGTGGGGTCCCTGAGGTCTCCATACAGAGGCACATACAGGAAGCTGGGGGAGAGGAGGGGGCAGGAATGATGCCCAGGAGCGGCGGCTCACCTTGTGATCCCCAGAGTGGGTTGGGCTGGCAAATGGCTGGAGGTCCCTCTCTCTCTCCCTCTCTCTCTCTCTCTCTCTCTCTCTCTCTCTCTCTCTCACACACACACACACACACACACCCCACTGTGGCTCTAACAGATCTAGTGGATATCTCTACCATGAACCCCGACTCCCCGGCCTCGGACCCCACGGTGTTCCACAAGCGATATTTGAAAAAGATTCGGGATCTGGGCGAGGTAAGGGGGGGCCGGGGATGGGGGGGGTCTGGGGGTGATGCAAAGGTGTCTCACCTGTGGATGCAAAGCCCGCAGGGGAGGCCCGGGTGCATGCAGCCCGGAGGTCCTCCATCAGGGCTGGGCGGGGCCCAGGACTTCCAAAATGGATCATTCCAGAGGCCTGGCCTGGCAACTGGAGGCTGAGGGCGGACCCTCTCTCCTGCGGACACAGGGGCACTTCGGCAAGGTCAGCCTGTACTGCTACGACCCCACCAACGATGGCACCGGGGAGATGGTGGCCGTGAAGGCCCTCAAGGCGGGTTGCGGGCCCCAGCTCCGCTCGGGCTGGCGGCGGGAGATCGACATCCTGCGCACGCTCTACCACGAGCACATCGTCAAGTACAAGGGCTGCTGCGAGGACCCAGGTGGGCGGGGCCAGGTGGCGATTGGCCGGGCGCGGGTGGGCGGGGCGTCCCCGGCCAACTAGAATGTCAGGACGCACCAGGGGGCGTGGCCAGGCAGGCTGCTCTTCCCTTGAGTGGATTGAAGTCCAGTGGGGGCGCTGGCTGCTCACACCTGTCAATCCTAGCTACCCAGGGGCCTGAGATCTGAGATGCGCAGTTGGAAGCCAGCCTGGGCAGGAAAGTCCGTGAGACGTTTGTTGTTTTGTTTTGTTTCGGTTGTAGGGCTTGCATTCAGGGCCCGGGTGCTATCCCTGAGTTTTTGTGCTCCAGGCTAGCGTGGTAGCACTTTGAACCCCAGTGCCACTTCCCGTTTTTGAATGGTTAGAGAGTCTCACAGGGACTTGCCTGGGCTGGCTTACAACCACCATCCTCACATCTCAGCCTCCTGAGTGAGTAGCTAGGATTTCAGGCATGAGCCACCAGCACCTGAGACTCTTATCTCCAACTAAGTAGGGAAAACCTGGAAGTGGAGTTGTGGCTCAAGTGGTAGAGCAACTGGCCTTGGGCAGAAAAGCTCAGGGACAATGCCTCAACCCCTGAGTTCAAGCCCCAGGACCTTTCCCCTCCCCTCACACGCTGGGCCTTGGGCACATGTGGGTGGGTAGTGACTTCGCCTTCTCTACCATGGCCTCGCCTCCTCCATGCCAGGCGAGAAGTCGGTGCAGCTGGTCATGGAGTACGTACCTCTGGGTAGCCTCCGGGACTACCTGCCCCGGCACAGCGTCGGGCTGGCTCAGCTGCTACTCTTCGCCCAGCAGATCTGCAAGGTGGGCCAGGCTGAACTCTTGCTTCCAGAACCTGTTACCTCTGCTGTCTTCCTGCCCTGGACCAGCCCTGTCCAGTCTGAACCTGCTCGTTAGGCCTGATCATCTTGTCCTTGGACTGACCTGCCCCTGCCCTCCCCCAACCCTCTTCTGCAATGCCTAACACAGGTCCTACCCCTCACCAGCTTGGTTCCACTTGTCTGGCCACACCCACTAATCAGACCACGCCCTCCATCCTGGCCACGCCCAGCCCTGCATCCGCCTGTACCCTCTAGCTCCACCTGCCATCCTGCCCTCCCAACCTGACCGGGTCCCCTACAGACTCAACCTGTCCCCTTGTTGCCCTGGCCATCAATTCAGGCCCTGCCACCCACTGCTACCCCCACCCCCAAGCCCCAACGACCCCTGACTCGCCCCGCCCCGCCCCTAGGGCATGGCCTACCTGCACACCCAGCACTACATCCACCGAGATCTAGCCGCGCGCAACGTGCTGCTGGACAACGACAGGCTGGTCAAGATCGGGGACTTTGGCCTAGCCAAGGCCGTGCCTGAAGGCCACGAGTACTACCGCGTGCGCGAGGATGGGGACAGCCCCGTGTTCTGGTGACCAAGGGAGGGGGGGTGTCGCAGTGTGAGGGAGATGCCATTTGGAATAGCAGTAGCGCAGCAGCCTGCAGAAGGGCCTGATACTAGGGGAGCTGGGTGTGACCTAGGGACTTGAGGGGGGCGGAGCCAGCTGGGCTTGGCCCAAGTAGATCTTCCCCAGGGACGGCGTCCTCCCCGCCCCCCCACCCCATGAGAGCTGGACTCCCCCACTCAGTACAGCCTCAGCCCTGAGAGGCCCCCCTCCTCGCCCAGGTACGCCCCAGAGTGCCTGAAGGAATGCAAGTTCTACTATGCATCTGACGTCTGGTCGTTTGGGGTGACACTCTACGAGCTGCTGACACACTGTGACTCCAGCCAGAGCCCTCCTTCGGTGAGCACCAGCCCCCCACCCCACGCGAATGGGCAGGTGGGAAGGTGGGCAGGTGGGCAGTCAAACCACATCCTTGGGAGGTTGAGGCAGTAAGATCAAGAGCTTGAGGCCAGTCTGGACAAAAAAAAAGAAAAAAGCAACAAGAGTTGGGGTGTAGCTCAAGTGGTAGAGTGCTTACCTAGCAGGTGGGTTCAATCCCTAATACCAAGAAAACAAAACCCCCCTCTCTATCCTAGCAAGTGCCTTACAATTCTGATATTTAACATGGGCCGCTTATAGTTCAGGCTTTTTTTTTTTGGGGGGGGGCGTCGGTTGTGGGGCTTGAACTCTGGGCCTGGGCGCTGTCCCTCAGCTCTTCAGCTCAAGGCGAGTGCTCTACCACTTGAGCCACAGCACCACTTCCGGTTTTCTGGTGGTTTATTGGAGAGAAGAGTCTCACGGAGCCTGGCATAGCATTTGAGGTGTTCAAAGTGTGGGTGGGGCCGGGTGCCGGTGGCTCATGTCTGTCATCCTAGCTACTCAGGAGGCTGAGATCTGAGGATCCCAGTTCAAAGCCAGCCTGGGCAGGAAAGTCCATGAAACTCTTATCTCCAATGAACCACCAGAAAACAGGAAGCGGTGCTGTAGCTCAAGTGGTAGAGTGTTAGTCTTGAGTTGAAAAGCTGAGGGACAGCGCCCGGGCCCAGAGTTCAAGCCCCACAACCGACCAAAAAAAAAAAAAAAAAAAGTGTCTCATGGACATTCCTGCTCAGGCTGGCTTTGAACGGCCATCCTCAGATCTCAGCCTCCTGAGTAGCTAGGATGACAGGCGTGAGCCACCGGTGCCTGGCTGTTAGTTCGTTTTGACAGGGTCTCACTATGAAGCCCCAGCAAGCTCCAAACTTGAGATCTTCTTTTGTTTGGATTTTTTGGCTTTTCCTTTATTTTACTGGGGAATCGAACCCAGGACATTGCACTTGCTAGACGACCACTTTGCCACTGAGATACATCCCAGCCAGACTTGAGGGCTTATTCCATAATGGTTTGTCATGGTAACATGACAAACAAGATGAGCCTTTTCTGTGGCCACAGCGACCCCCCTCTTCTTTTTCTGGTATAATTTCCATGACTTTCTCTGATTGGCCCTAGGTGCATTTGGTAACCAATCACTGAATAGCCATGAGCCACTGTGAATGGCCAGGCCTGATGTGGGTGGGGCAGCTAGGAGAAGGTTCTAATATTCAGAACACAGTCTTCATAGCCCCAGCTACTGGAGATTGAACCAGGAGCAGCACTGAATCCTAAGAGTTCTGGACCAGCCTGGGCAACATAGCAAGACCCACATCTTAATTTTGTTGTTGTTGTTGGGCATGGGACTTGACCTGAGGGCCTGAGCTAGTGCTGAACCACTTTGAGCCACAGCGTCACTTCTGGAGTTTTAGTGGTTCATTGGAGATACGAGTCTCACAGAGACTTGCCTGCCTGGGCTCCCTTCAAATCACGATCCTCAGATCTCAACCTCCTGAGGAACTGGGATGACAGTCATGAGCCACTGTGTGGCTTAAATTTTTTTAAGTTTATCCATTTGGGTTTGATAGTTCATAGCTAGGATCCCTGATGCCCTAAGGATCATGAGTTGGAAGCCAGCCTAGGCAAAGTTAGGGAGAAGGAGGGATAAAGGGAGGGAGAGACCACTGGAGGGAGGGAGCCTTAAATGGTAGAGGGCTTGGAGAGTATGCAACAGACCCTGGGTTCCATCTCCAACACCAAAAGGAAACATAGCCAGGCGCTAGTGGCTCAAGCCTGTCATCTTAGCTACTCAGGAGGCTGAGATCTGAGGATCGCGGTTCAAAGCCAGCCTGGCAAGGTAAGTCTGTGAGATTCCTATCACCACAATTCATTTCTACCACCACTTGAGCTGTGGCTCAAGTGGTAGAACACTAGCCTTGAGGGAGAAAAAAAAAAACGCTCAGAACAGTGTCAGGGCCATGAGTTCAAGCCCCAGGACTGCCTCCAAAAAAAAAAAAACAAAAGCAAAAACAGGAAAAATGGCTTCTGGGCAGAGCCGCAGTCCTGCAGCCAAGGTGGGATTTGAACCCCCACAGTGGAGTGCCAAGCCCCCAGCCTCTACCCAGGCTTCTCACCCTGGCCGCGTCGTCTCTCTATGCCGTAGAAATTCATCGAGCTCATCGGCCTCACCCAGGGCCAGATGACAGTGCTGAGACTCACCGAGTTACTGGAACGAGGAGAGAGGCTGCCGCGGCCCGACAAATGCCCCAGTGAGGTGAGCTGGGGCCCCTCCACCCCACCGCCCCCCACAGGCGAGCAGCACCCCATCGCCCTATTCTCCCGCCCTAGGTCTATCTCCTCATGAAGAACTGCTGGGAGCTGGAGGCCTCCTTCCGCCCGACCTTCCAGAACCTCATTCCCATCCTCAAGATGGCTCATGACAAGTACCAGGCCCAGGCCCCTTCGGTGTTCAGTGTGTGCTGAAGCGCGGGGACAGGTCAGCGCCCAGAGCAGCCTCCCGGACCTACAGTCTAGACACCTCCACTTCTGCAAACTTGTTTTTCTGTGTGCCAGTCCTGGGGCTTGAACTCATGGCTTGGGGGCTGTCCCTGAGTTTTTTTTTGTTTTGTTTTGTTTTTCTCAAAGCTAGCACTCTACCATTTGAGCCCCTGCTCCACATCTGGCTTTTTGGTGGTTCATTGGAGATAAGAGTCTCACAGACTTCCCTGTTTGGGCTGGCCTCGAACCGCGATCCTCAGATGTCAGCCTCCTGAGTAGCTAGAATGACAGACATGAGCCACCAGCACCCAGCTAACTTTTAAACTTCTGCTCACCCCTAAGCCACTAGCTAGGCTGGGGTATAGCTCAGTGGCACAGCATTAAGTTTAGCCTACAAGATGCCCAGGATTCCATCCTCAGCACCCAACACAAGCGCGCGCGCACAAGAAAGGCTAAATCACCAACTTGATCAGTTCCCGGTACACAGAAGGTGATCAGTAATGACTTGTTAAATGCCCAAAGTATGTGCGAAGCCACCTTCCTGCTGGGTAGGACGCGGCCAGGCTGGACCGGTGTGTGCTGGGCGGCCTAAGGTAACGCTGGCCCGGCCTCTCTGGGCCTCACTTTTGCGCCTGTGGGAACGGACGTGTTTGCTACCTCGCAGGACCGATGTGGAGGAATGCTGGGAGTGGCTCCGAAATGGTGGTAATAAACATTCCATTTTGTGACCATGGTTGTTTGTCACCGTCGCTGCTTGAGTCACACGCATCTGTGCACGGCAATGCCATCATTACCTTCTTCAAAAAGCGCTTCTGAAGACTATGTGGCCGTGAGCAGTGCATCACGCTAGTAATCCCAGCCGTCTTGGGCTCCATCTCAGTTAGGGGTAACACACTGTCTGAAAGAGCTGTGCATGTAGCTGACAGCACTGTTGCCTCGCGGGAGTTTAACACACACACACACAATCCTCTTGATCCAGGTGTAGTGATACAAACCTGTAATTCCAGGATTAAGAGTCTGAGCCAGTCTGGGCTACAGACCAAAATTCTGTCTCAAAGAACAAAACCAAACACTAAGCCAACAAGGCTAGTGCTCTACCACTTGAGCCACAGCAGCACGTCTGACTTTTTCTGTGTCTGTGGTACTGAGGAATCGAACCCCGCTTCATGCGTGCTAGGCAAGTAACTGTACCACTGAGCCGCATTCCCAGCCCCCAAATTCTTTTTTGTTGTTGTTGCTCTCCTGGGGCTCACACTCAAGGCCTGGGCACTGTCCCAGGCTAGTGCTCTAGCACACAAGCCACAGATCCGTTTCCTACTTTTTTGGTGCTTAACTGGAGATAGTCTCACAGATTTTTTTCCTGCCTGGGCTGGCTTGGAGCCATGATCTTCAGATCTCAGGAGATACACACCACCAGCACCTGGGATCCGCAAGTCTTTCCTTGCCCCCTCCCTGAATGCCATCATCTCGTACAGACCTTCTGAAGCTCGTCTGGCACTGATCGCATTGTTGCCCCCTTTGCAGTGCTGCCTTGCAGTCCCGCCTTCAGCCGTGTATAGTAGCACACACCTGTAATCCCAGCTACTGGGGGAAGGGGGTGGAGTTGAGGGAGGAGGATCGCTTGAAGCCAGCCTGGGAAGCAAGGCTAGATGCCTTATGAGAAACAGAAAGGGAAAAGAGAAGAAACCTCACTTTGAAGAAGAAACAAAATCTCACTTAGATTCCCTGACCCCCTTAACTTCCTCTCTACAGACAGAAGTCACAAGTTCAGCCGGAAGTTTTCTCACCTTTCCCCCCCCCTTAACCTTCCCTCCCCAGCCCCAAACCCACAGTTTCTGGGTACTGAGAACAAGAGCAACTGCCAATTCTGTGAACTTGAGGGAACAACAACAAATTTGAGGTACATCTGAGGCCTGCGGAAGATGTCCCCCCAACTCCCAACTGTGTGTCTCTCTGAGGGATCCCCAACTTACATCACCCCAGATCCGGAACCTCACCACTTCGAGATGCCAGGCCTGGTGAAAGGTGCAGCCCTGATTGCTCCAACCCTAACCGCCCTGGCTTCCGCCGCCCTCCCTCGGCCCCTCCCAGCACCCCTTCCCCGGGTCCCTTCCTCGCTCAGCCTGCCCAGCCTGCCCACCATGGCGCCCGCCCGGCTGCCACTCGGCCGCGCCCTGCTCATCTTCCAGCTGTTGGCCTACTGTCCGCTGGCCCTGGGTGAGCCGCCACACGGGGCTGGGCTCAGGGTTGGGGGGGGTCGAAGGGGACTGAGGAATAAAGGGGAGTATGGGCACAATCTGCCACCCCGATTATTTCCTGCTCACTCAAGCTGGTCTCCCCAGGAGAAAGTTCTAGCTCCAAAGTTGAGTCTTTTTTTTGATCAGTTGTGGGGAATTGAACTCTGGGCCTGGGCGTTGTCCCTGAGATTTCTTTTTTTGTTCTCACCAAGCTAGGATGGCTTGGAACTGTAATCCTCATATCTCAGCCCGCTGAATAGCTGGGACTACAGGAGTGAGCTACCAGTGCTGGGCGATACCTGCCCCCTTTTTGTTACTTTGATAGTTCTGAGGACTGAATTCCAGCCCTCATCCTTGCAGGCAGATGCTCTACTATGTGAGCCCATGTGTCTAGCCTGTTTTAGTTTTAGAGGGTCCTCCACCCCCCCCCACCACCCCAGTTTTCTCAGACAACAATCCACTTACCTACAGCTGTCTCAGGAGGATGAGAGACATGCCCTCCTATGCCCAACTTATTGAGATTGGGGGGGGTGTCCACTAATTTTTGGCCCTGATTGGGTTTGAAACATAATCATCCTAATCTCTGCCTTCTGAGTAGCTGGGATTACAGGCGAGAGCCACTGTGCCCAGCCCTTGGCCTCTCTTATCAATCCTTTGTCTTCCTCTACTGGATGGTTGTGAGTGTTCTTGCTTGAGGGGGAGAATCTATGCAGGGTGGATTTTGGGTACCCAAACTGAATCCCCTCCTGTTCCTCAAGGAGACCTAGCGCGGGGCTCCCTTCTGCGGGTGGAGCCCCGAGACCCTGTGCTTCTGGCTGGAGGGACCCTCGTAGTGAACTGCAGCATGGACTGTCCCCAGCCTGAGCTCCTCTCGCTGGAGACGTTGCTTGAGAAGGTCCCTGTGGGCCATGGTGTGCGGTGGGCGGCCTTCCAGCTCAGCAACATCACTGTCAACAGCCAAGTCTTTTGCTCCGGATACTGTAATGGCTCCCAGATAATAGCCACATCTGAAATCATGGTGTTCCGTGAGTGGATGGATTGGGGGTAGGGGGGATGGGTCTGCGCTCTGCCTCAGAACTTAGACATGGGCCTATGTGTATGTGACAGACACAGACAGACAAAGACACACAGACATTCATCTCAGTCAAATGATGGACTAGCTGGGTGCTGGTGGTTCACACCTGTCAGCCGAGCTACTCAAGAGGCTGAGATTTGAGGATCATGCTTCAAAGCCAGCCCAAGCAGGAAAGTCCATGAGACTCTTATCTCCACTAAACCACCAGAAAACTGGAAGTGGTGCTGTGGCTTGCCTTTAACAAAAGAGCTCCGCCAGGTTCTGGTGGCTCACGCCTGTAATCCTAGCGAGATAAGAGGCTGAGATCTGAGGATCATGGTTCAAAGCCAGCCCTGGCAAGAGGCTTTTTTTTTTTTTTTGTCAGTTGTGGAGCTTGAACTCTGGGCCTGGGCGCTGTCCCTGAACTCTTCAGCTCAAGGAGAGTGATCTACCACTTGAGCCACAGCGCCACTTCTGGTTTTCTGGTGGTTCATTGGAGATCAGAGTCTCACGGACTTTCCTGCCTGGGATGGCTTTGAACCTCGATCCTCAGATCGCAGCCTCCTGAGTAGCTAGGATGACAGATGTGAGTCATAGGTGCCAGGCTCCTGGCTCGTTAATTAGAGATGAGTCTTCCACTGGCTTCAAACAGGGAAACCCAGATCTCAGCCCCTGAGTAGCTAGGATTACAGGCCAGAACCCCAGGCACCCAGCTTAGGCGTAGGTTTTCTTTTCTTTTTGGCCAGTCCTGGGGCTTGAACTCAGGGTCTGGACTCTGTCCCTGAACCTCTCTGTGCTCAAAACTAGCGCTCTACCATTTGAGCCCAAGCACCACTTCCGGCTTTTTCTGTGTATGTGGTACTGAGGAACCAAACCGAGGGCTTCATGAATGCTAGGCAAGCATACTACCACTGAGCCACCTTCCCAGCCCCCTAGGCGTGGTTTTCTGAGCTCCAACACTGGCAGGGTGCCTGACAACACAGGAAATAATCCTGCTGTTAATGACAGGCAAACACTTCTGCTGGTGCATTGTGTTCACTCCAAGCTCACAGGCTGGGGCGAGGCTCATTAGCAGACTGGGGCAAGGACAAGGCCCTGGGTTGGGGAGGGAGTATGGGGGGGGGCTCCCAGATCACAGATCAGAGCAGGAAAATCCTGTTTCCCCTTCAGTCTGTGGGGTGGGAGGATTGCAGGGGGGACTGCCCAGTGCCATTCAGCGCTCTTCCGCCAGGGTTCCCAGAGACGGTGGAGCTGGCCCCGCTGCCCCCCTGGCATCCGGTGGGCCGGAACCTCACCCTGAGCTGCCTGGTGGCGGGCGGGGAGCCCCGGGCCCAGCTCAGCGCGGTGCTGCTCCGCGGGGAGGAGGAGCTGAGCCGGCAGCCCGTGCTGGGGGAGCCGGCCGTGGTCACAGCCACGGTGCTGGCCCGCAGGAGCGATCACGGCGCCAATTTCTCCTGTGCCACGGAACTGGATCTGCGGCCACACGGGCTGGGATTGTTCCAGAACACCTCGGCCCCCAGGCAGCTGCGAACCTTCGGTGAGGGAGGGCGGCAGAGGCTGGGTGATGAGCTGGGGTCTTCGGGGGAAAGCTTGCCCTTGGAAGGGTCTGGGAGCCGGGGAGCAGGGCTGGGGGGGGGGGCGTGAGCTAGACTGAAAGACATCTGCAGAGAAGGGGACCCTGACTGTGTGTGGGGAACCCCTGCAGCCTTCAATCATGCCCCTGTGCCCCCCAGCCCTGCCCCGGAGGCCCCTGCGCCTCGAGGCCCCGCCGATCCTGGAGGTGGGGTCGTCCACGCAGGTGCGGTGCATTGCGGATGGGCTCTTCCCGGCGCCTGAGGCCCAGGTCCACATGATGCTGGGGGGCCAGAGGCTGCACCCCACAGCCACGAGCCGCGGGGACACGCTCACAGCCACGGCCACAGCTCACGCCCACCACGAGGGTTCCGCGGACATCAGCTGCAACGTGACCCTCGGGGACCAAAGTCGCCAGGCCCGGAAGAACTTGACTGTTTACAGTAAGCTGGGTCCCCAGACCCAAACTGCGGAGGGGCGGGGCCTCGGGGGGCAGGGCCTCCGGGGCAAGGGGCGGGGACTTGGGAGGGCAGGGCCTCATGGGTGAGGGTGGAGACTTTGGAGGGCGGGGCCTCATGAGTGAGAGGCGGAGTCTTGGGGTGGGGCCTCCAGGGCAAGGGGCGGAGCCTTGAGAGGGCGGGGCCTCATGGGTGAGGGTGGAGACTTTGGAGGGCGGGGCCTCCGGGGCAAGGGGCGGGGACTTGGGAGGGCGGGGCCTGTCCGGAGGGCCTCCGGTTGCAGCATGGGCCTGACATCCACCTTAGACCAGGCCACAAAGAAGGCGTGGCCTGGAGAGCCCCTCCCAGTGGGGGAAGCGGCAATCGCAGACCAGAAGTTCCCCAGCTTTGTCCTCTGGTCTTCAGGCTTTCTGGGGCCCGTTGTGAACCTGAGTGAGGCCATGGTTGCTGAGAGGTCCACAGTGAACGTAACTTGCACGGCCGGACCCCGAACCCAGGTCATGCTGGATGGGGCTCCAATCCCCCTCCTGGGGCAGCCAGCCCAGCTTCAGCTGCAGGCCACTGAGCGCGATGACGGACGCCACTTCTTCTGCAGAGGCACCCTTGAGGTGGACGGGCTCCTTCTGCATAAGAACACGACTGTCCGGCTGTCTGTCCTGTGTGAGTTGGTCACTTCAGACTGTTCATTGCCGGTGTTGGTTCTTGAGCTCTGGGCCTGGGCGCTGTCACTTAGCCTTTCCACTCTAGGCTGGCTTTGGGGTCACTAGAGCCACAGCTCCTGGTCTTTTGTTGTTATTGATTAAATGAAGATAAGCTCCTCATAGACTTCCCTGTCAGGGCTGACTTCAAACCATAATCCTCAGATAACAGCCTCCAGAGTAGCTAGGATTACAAGTGAAAGTCATTATGGCATTAGGCTATTTATTTATTTAATACTAGTATTAGGTCCTGACCTCAGGCCCTGCCCCCCCCCCTTTTTTTGCATAAGGTTAGTGTTCTACCACTTGAGTCACAGCTCCACTTCTGGCTTTTTGGTGGTTACTTGGAAATAAGTGTCTCATGGGATTTGTCCACCCAGACTGGCTTTAAACCTGGGATCCTCAAATGACAGCTTCCTGAATAGGATTACAGACGTGAGCCTTAGGCTCCTGATATACTCACATCTGTTTTAATCCCTCACCCTAACCATCCCGGTGTGGAGTTTCTCTTGTCTGATCACATGGTGGTTCCACAGATGGTCCCAAGATCGACCGGGATAAATGTCCCCAACACTTGGTGTGGAAAGAGAAGACTACCCAGGTCTTGCGGTGCCAGGCCGGAGGCAATCCGGCCCCTAGGCTGCAGTGTTTGCAGGAGGATTCTGGGAATGTGGTGCACGTCGGGATTCCATTCGTCGTCGGGCTAAATTATAGCGGTGTTTACTGTTGCCAGGCAACGAGTCCAATGGGCTCCGCCACCTTGCCCGTGGAGATTGACGTTCGTGGTAGGTCAAAAGGGGAGGGGCGCGGAGGAGGGTGAGGAGAGGGACAAACCCAGGGCTTGGGGATCCAGAGAAGCCCATTAAAAAAAAGAAAAAAAAATATATATAAATATATATATAATTCCGAGCTTTTCTGTGCAGAACGCAATCCCGCCAGGGTAAGCATCGTCTTAGGGGTGCTAGCAGTCCTAGGGGTGCTGACTGTCGCGGTGGCCTTAATGTTTGTCTTCGGATCGAAATCACGGAGAGGCAGCTACCCCGTGGCGAGGCAAAGCGCCTTCGTACCCCTCACGACGATGACACCTCAAGAGACAGAGGCGGAGGAGGTGCCTTGAGCGGCGGGACGCCGGGATCCGGGGCCAAGGACGGGGCAGGGACTTTGGCTCCAGTTCCCCACCAATAAAATCCTTTCAACTTCCGTGTTCAGTCCCCTGAGTCTGCTATTCACGCCGCCAAGCTGTTCCCACCACATCATGCAACTCCTGAATGGCCTGGCCGAGGCGGAAGGGGGAGGAGCTTCTGGCGCTACTGACGTAGCTCAGGCTCTGAGAGGCTGGCTGAGCCTTAGCCAATAGGCTGAGGGGGACGAGGGGAAGGCGGGGCTTTGGTTAGCCAATCGGAGGGCGCGCCTTCATTGCCGCTCTATGCCGCTCCGCCTTGACTCGCTGGTCCCAGAAGGCGCCGGGTTTCCCAAGATGGCGGCCGACGTGTCCGTTACTCACCGGCCCCCGCTGAGTCCGGAGCCTGGGCCCGAAGTAGAAGCTACTGAAACTGCGGAACGCCGGGCACCCGAGGAAGAGCTGCCGCCTCTAGATCCGGAAGAGATCCAGAAACGCCTGGAACATACCGAGCGCCAGTTCCGTAACCGCCGTAAGATACTGATCCGAGGCCTCCCGGGGGACGTGACCAACCAGGTACGGCCGGTGGGGGGCGGCGCGGGAGCGCGGCGGGGAACACCGACGTGCGCCTGCGCGCGGGGGCGTCCGGCGACGCCGGTGCGGGCCTCCGCTGCGGGGGGGGGGGTCCCGGCCGGGATCCCGGGGAATCGGGGGAGACCGGAGCGCGGTGGGCCGCGGGGGGAGAGGGAGGAAGACACCGGCTGCGGGGTGCGGGGAGCCGTTGCTAGGGGCGACCACAGGCCGCGGGGAGCCCCGATCACTGAGCTTTGGCCTGGGAGGACCGTGTGAAGGGATTGCTGGATTGGGAGGTGTGGGCAGTCCCCCCCCCCTTCCACCCTCCTTCCCCGATCCTTTGGATTGTGTCACACAGACAGACAGACAGACACACACACACACACAACCTGGGTACACACACACACACACACACCCCATGGGTGGTGAGACCTTCCATCCAGAAGTTTGTTAGGACATCAGTTTCCCCCCCCTCTTCCACCTTCCTTCCCCGATCCTTTGGATTGTGTTACACGCACACACACACACACACACACACACACACACACACACACAACCTGGGTGGTGAGACCTTCCATCCAGAAGCTTGTTAGGACATAACCCTGCCTCGATTCATATACCTCTTTAAGATGCAGAGCCGGAAGTTGTAGCACCCTTCCTCCAGGAAGCCCAGGATTCATTTGGGAAGAGGTTTCCTGCCACCCTATCTCAGATCTTAGAGGCAAAGGCTCTGTGCGTCGCGCGGAGTTCACCTTGGCCGATCTTCCTGCTGCATGCCCTCCCCCCACTACGCCTACCCAGGACAGCCCTTCCTCCTGCTCTTTGGACCCAGGAAATGGCATCTCTAGCAATGGATAGATTCCTTCTCCCTGTCTCCCCCCCCCCTCCCCCCGCCCCTGGCCCACTTTGCCCACACGATGGGACACACAGTTGAAGGAGCCCTTAGAGGGTGAGGGGACAAATCTGGGACCGGGGGACAAATCTGGGACCAGGCGCCACAAGTCCACAAGGTCTGGGGCTGGTCTCCCATCTAGTGTCCACAGAACGCAGCTGCCCGGAAGGCGGCCCTGCCAACAAGAGGGAATTGGGAGGCACAGTCATAAATATATGCACCCTCTCCAATTCGATGCCACTGGATAGTATTTCTGCTGCTGTGACCCACTGCCCAGCGTGAGGCATATTTATTCACCTCCCCAAGCCTCAGTTTCTTTGCCCATGATATGGGTTTGTTAATATTTAGCTGTAGAGTTGTAGGAAACAGCCTTGCTAATAAGTCAGACAGGTTCAACAACTTCCCTTTTAAAGATCTGCTTTCTGAGCAGCATGTGGACAGACTTTTTTTTTTTTTGGTAGGTCATGGGGCTTGAACTCTGGGCCTGGGCCCTGAGCTCTTCAGCTCAAGGCACATGCTCTACCACTTGAGCCACAGTGCCACTGCCGGTTTTTGGGTGGTTCATTGGAGATAAGAGAGAAGAGTCTCAGGGACTTTCCTGCCCACTGACTTTGAACCTCAATCCTCAGATCTCAGCCTCCTGAGTCGCTAGGATTATAGGTGTACGCCACTGGCACCCGGCTCAGACTTTTTTCCCCCCTCTAATACTAAGGCTCAAACTCAGGGTCTCAGGCTCTTGTTGGGCTTGCTTGCTCACTGCTTGCACCCTACCCCTTGAACCCCCCTCTCCGGCCTGGCTTTCTGGTGATTAGAAATAAGAATCTCCTGGGCTTTTCTGCCCAGGCTGGTGTGAAATGGTGATCCTCAGATCTCAGCCTCCAAAGTAGCTAGGGTTACAGGCATAGGGGCCGCCAGTGCCCTGGCTTTCAGCCAGGCTCTTGAATCTTGCTTTGCCAGTGATGGCCTCGAGCAGGTGAAATGGCCTCGTTGAAAGCTCAGGTTCCGCATCTCGAGGCAGGCTTGGTCATCCATCTGCCTTAGTAGTTGGGCTGCCTGGAAGAAGCGCCCAGCTGTTCCTTCATCCCTCGGTAACTCTGTCTCTGGTTTCTGTTTCTGCAGGAAGTACACGACCTACTCAGCGACTATGAGCTCAAGTACTGTTTTGTGGACAAATACAAAGGGACAGGTTGGTGGGGCTGTGGGGCGGGTCTGGGCTGGAGGTGGGAGGGTCATATCTTGTCTCCTAAACATCAATCCAAAAGAGTCTGGGCACTATCCCTTCGCTTTCTCACTCAAGGCTGGTTCTCTACTGCAGCTCCACTCCTAGCTTTTTGGTGGGTTCATTGGAGATAATAAAAAAGACTCAGAGACTTTCCTGCCCAGGCTGGCTTTGAACTGCTGTTCTCAGATCTCAGCCTCGAGGGTATCTTCCTGCCTCTTGCAGACGCCTGCCCCTAGCCTGTTCTAATTCCCTTGCACGCCTTATTTTGTCCCTAATCCTTTTCCCTCAAAACCATTCTCCCACCCCTCCTAGCACTGTTTTATAAAGCTGTGTCGTGGAAGGTTCCAGGCTGTCTCTTCTGCCTGCCATCATGACACCGTCCACCTTGGCTGTCATTGCTGGCTTATAGGCCTGCCTCCTACCTAGCTCCAGGAAATTGGGAAGGTCTTGTCAGCCTCGGCCACTGTTAGCCATTGTGCCAGGTGTTAAAGATCTTCTATAGCCTTCCCTGACAGTCTGTAGGGTGAGGTTAGTGATTGAGATCTTGGAGGTACAGAGAGCCTTCATGTTGGGATCCTGGTCTGTCTCCACTCAGGCTGTGTCAGGTAGCAAGGAGGAGGGCCAATGCTGTGGCTGCATAATGACTAGCCAAAGAATCAGCCAATCATGTGCTTGCTGGCTCCCAGGTGAGCTGTCCACAGGCCCGTTCTGGGGCTCCAGGCTCCTAGGGGACTCAACAGAGTCTCCCAAGACTTCAGCACCTCTAGATGACTTAGCGTAGCTAATACCACGTAAATACTGCATGCAGAGTCTAAAGATCATGACAAAAATCTGTCCATGTTCAGTGCAGCCACACCTCCTTTCTTCCCAGTCCGTTGAGCCCACTTTGGCTAATCTGTGACTGTGGGGGCCTGTGCCACATGCATCAGGGCTCCAGATGTTGAATGATGTTTTCTGTTCGTGCCACCTTTCAACAAATCCTTACTGAGCATTTACTATGTGTCGGGGACCAGGGACGTGGCTTGCCACCAAACAGCCCGGGCTGGAGAGGAGGAGGCTACTCAAATAGTTGCAAATGTGAAGGTGAAATGGGCCAGGTATGATGGCGCACCCCTGCATCCCAGCGCTCCAGAGCGTGAGGCAGAAGGATTGTGAGTTCAAGGCCAGCCTGGGCTATTATAGGGAGATCCTTGTCTTAGAGAAAGAAAAGGAATAAAAAAAGCATCTTGGGACCTTTAAAAGCAACAGAAAAGGCACAGTGGGTGGAGAGAGCAGGGATCCTGATCTGGAGCAGCTAGGACAGGCTTCGTGAAGATACGAGGTAGAAGGCCGGATCAGGAGAGCGGGCAGGATTGAACAGGGGTTTGTGGGGCCCAGTTTTCCTTACCTGGGGAAGGCAGCTAGAGGCCTGGGTTGGAGTCTCGTCGCTCTGTTTCTAGAGGCAGCTGTGGGGCTGGCAGAGGAGGTAACGTAGGTCACAAGGCTGGTTTGGAGGAATGGAGAGGATGGTGCAGTTATCGCAACCTAGATTTAGCTCTTTATTTGTTTGTGACAGTCCTGGGGCTTGAACTCAGGGCTTGGGTGCTATCCCTGAACTTTCTATTTATTTATTTACTTATTTATTTATTTTGTTGGCTCAAGTTAGCCCTCTACCACTTGAGTCACAGCTCCACTTCCTGCTCTTTAGTATGTGATTGGTCCCATGAACTTTCCTGGCCTGGCTGGCTTTGAACCCTGATCTTCCAACAGATCTCAGCCTCCTGAGTAGCTAGGATGACAGGCGTGAGCCACTGGCTTCCCAGCTTATTTTACCTTTTTTTTTTTTTGAGCTAGGATCTCATACTGTAGTTCAGGCTGTGTTCAAACTTAAGATCGTCCGGCCTCCATTTCCCGAGTGCTGTGAATATGACATGTACATCCATCCATATAGCACATGATGTACGTATGTGTATATGTACATATGTATACATAAACACATGCATGCGTGCATATGTGTGTATATTATATCACTAGCTGCCTGGAATGTCCTAGAACTCAAGATCCTCCTGTTTTGAGGTTGGGATTATGGGTGTGCGCCACCTCGCGTGGCTCTGGACAGCCTTCTTAGCCTCTCTCCTGGGAGAGGCAGGGAGCAGGTGCAGGGGGGTCGGCAAGAAGGGGGAGCCCCTAGGCCCCACCGGCTTGCCCCGAGCTGTGCGGATCGCCAGTGGCAGGTGACTGGGGGTCCCCCGGGGCCGGAGAGGGCGGCTCTGCACCCGTGATCTCACCAGATGGAGGGCGGGTCAGGCCCCCCCCAGCAGGCCCGGCATCGCTGACCCGCTCCCCGCCCCCGCCCCGCAGCCTTCGTGACCCTGCTGAACGGCGAGCAGGCCGAGGCGGCCATCGGCACCTTC